GTGACCTCATTTTATTAGCTGTCCTAATTGAAGATGAGGTGAAGTACCTCACTGAAAATGGAACATCTGCAACACAAATGAACGTACCAAAGCTGACATTGCAGTTTGTGAATTCAGTATTCGGATCATCTGAATTGCTTGTTGGCACTAAAAAGAGAGATGTGCTCTAAACAGACGTGTTGCGAGAGCGTCTTATTAGACTGGCTGTTGACAAAGTGCACACCACTAAAATAATAGGTGTTCTTTTCCATCAATTTAATTAAAAAGTATATACTTTACACATGATATGCATGGTATGCAAAAATATCACTATCATCAGCTTGTACATGTGCACTGGTGAAAGCGCAGGCAGAGATGAAACACCATCAATGCTAAATGGTTAAAATTAGGGAACACAAGTCAGAGCTTGCCAGCCGTGGGCTGCTGGTTGAGAGACGCTTGTTTAGCTACTGACTCTGTACTTAAGTCAAGTTCAAATGAAAGTAGTTTTCCAATTTCGGACTATAGGATCATATAGATATAAATGAATAACATATGCAGAAAGACTGTGGTTGATATGAAAAAAAACAAAACATGAAAATAGAGTTAAATTTGAGATCACTGACACAAAAACATGCATTTTCGATCACAGTAAAGAACCTCAGGAGAAGTTCACCACTGTCATAAACATCTCTTTTGCTCAATTGGGAATTAAAGCAAGACCTCAGAGGAAACACACACACATATAATCACATTTTCATTGATCACTGGGACTTGCTGTGTTCTCGTCCTCTCTCTACTGACATAAAGGTCAATAACAACAAATAAAGAGCAGTAGCGTAGAAACAAACTGAGTTAAAAATGAAAGCTCATGTTAAAGATACTATAGAGGTTTGGTAGCAAAAATAAAATGCTACGGTAAGACGACATCAGCAAAATGAAGTGTCACTATGCAGTGTGAACAGTTGCTTGCCTCACTCTTTCGGTCAATTCCTCCAGAATCCATCCTCCAACCCAACCAATAATAATAGCAGTACAGAGTAAAGCATCATACATATGTGGAGTTTAATGGAGTATATTTGATGAGTTTATTTTCAGGTGTGTAAAGTCTGCCAGGGCTAGTGCTAACTGCTAGTGCTATCATGAATTATTAAGGTGCCTCTCTAGGTGTCTTTGAATCAGCTTTGATGTATTTCTTTTTATGTACCCTGATCGCTCAGATTCTACACCGTCATTATACCTACATTATGTAGGAGCCCCACACCTTCTAATGGCCATAAACATTCAAGGGACAATCATGTATCATGAATATATCCAGAAACTAGTGCTGTCTACTGAATATAGTGTGATTAATTATTCAAAAAGAATAATGTGATTAAAAAAACTACATCATTAATCATGTCCCCAACACATAAATTCTGCAAAAGGGGATTTTTTCTACCATCAGAGCAATTCAAGTTTGAAGTACCACCTTCGTGTTTTTGCAAGTACATGCAGACTGATCATTAAAAAATACCTCAGAATGACAAGGACAAAATACAATATTCCTTTATGATTAATGTTATGAAAATAAAAACATTTTTGTAAGGTGACCATCTATTCAAAGATTTAATCATCTGCCATAATAATGTAACAAATCTTTATTTGGCATTTTTTCTCAGTGATAGATTCAACTTATTGTTATCAATTTCATCAAAATTTGATTTGATTCTCCTTCATCAACAGCCCTGCTAGAAACGTTGTTATTGCATTTACTGTCCAAATAACAGTACAATAACTGTCAAACAATGACATAAACTGTTCTAATTTATTCAAACGAACAAACCCTTTACCTTAAGCTACTACCCTACTAAACTACCAAAAGAATTTCACACACTTTTCTACCAAGATGCAGATAATGCTCAACTTTAACCCGACAAATGAAAAGCCTCATGGCGTGAGTTGAACTTAAATCTCCAGTTTAATTTGATTTATCTGCTCCCTGTGTCTTTGAATTCAGACCGTTCCATCATAATGTCAGTGCATAATTTATGAGTTGAACAACAACAATTAAGTGAGTCTTGCCGAGCTCGGAGCCCTCTCCCTGGACAGCACGCCAAATATGCATAACCTTTATTTAATTACATGTAAGTGTGAACTCGTGAAAACATCAACACGGAAGACTCTACATAATTCACTGAATGACTTCTAGAGAAAGACTGGTTGTCTGGTTAATGACGGACCGGTCTTTGAAGTCTGGGATTCGGCGGCTCTATGAATATCATGAATAAAACAAGAGAAAATTTTACTAATTCGATTCATTTATTCTAGAACATTGATTTTGTTAGGAAAGCCATCTGTGTTAGTGAAACATTTTCCTGCATGAGAGGCATGAGAGTAGAGCGGCCGTTCTCACCAACTGTTCCGGACAAGCACCATGTGCTGACGTAAGGCAACTCAAGTGCGTCAAATACAGCACTCGATACGTGACATAAGTAATATGATATCCTTATGACTCAAATAACTGAATGAAAAAGAGCATGAAGCTCTTTGAAGTACTGTCATGAACTGAATGAAGAAGGAAGCATTGCACTGTAATTTTGCCTTCCTGCCATAAAGAAATATCCAGATGGCCACAGAGGTACCCTACCTGCCCAAACACATGTCAAGTACAGTCTTGTGCCCTTTCTTTTACAACATACCCTCTCTTCAGCTCCTCCAGTGCACATTTCTACTATGTGTGCCTGCACGTAACATGGGGTCCGTTGAATGCTGAAGCTCTAGCTGGGAAAAAGACAGTGTTTAGCATTCCACCTGGTCATTAGGCAGCTGTGCAACTGATATAATCTGAGCCCCAATGTAAAATTAATGCCACCCTCGTATCAACCTCAGACAGACAGGCTAATGAGAGCATTGGAACAAACATGGCATCAAGTATTCCATATGCAGCACTATATTTTTAGCTGCATCTTCATTTCACACTTCAGTGGCCTCAATCTTTAAACCCCACAATAAAAAAATAAAAAAACGTTTCTCTCACGATAGACTGGTGATTAAGCCTAACTTTGCCTAACCCAGAAAGGTTTACAAAGCCCCAAACAAAGCAAAACAAACAAAGACCTGGCTGGCGGTCATTAAACGGTCAGGGTTAGTTGCTAATAGTGGATAGTGTGAGGCAATTAGCACAGGGTCCAGGAAAGCCCTCGGCAGTCCTAATTAAGTCATTTCTAAGTTCACTGCAGAGGCACTGGACCTGCTTATCACACCTAAGAGGACTGCAGAAACCAACACAAGAGAGAGATCCAGGCATAAACAATGGTAATTTCTAAATGATGTACTCGCTATGCTGTCTACATGAACTTCTGTTCTTACCATAAGGGACCTTTTCCTTAGCCCACAGACAGTCTAAGCCTGTTGGGTGAAATGTTTTACAACGAGGGTCAGCTGTGATCTGCTGACGGTCAGTTTGAATGTTTCGAACCGGATAAACGAAGACCTCAATCATCTACATTCACTCCTTTTTCGCTGGCATCTGCTCTTGGATTCTCCTCTTGCCTTATGCTCTTCCTCTTTACCTGAGCTCTGTCTTCCTGGACAACAGTGTTAAAGGCCATGCCATCAGGTCAGACTCCAGCCCTCACTGGCATCTCTCTTCCTCTCTTCTGAGCTTCAGGAGCTGTTCACATTGCACTAGCTTTCCAGTGTTTTTCTATGTAAATACATACTAGATGGACGTATTTGGACATAACACTCACGTCTTGCATCTATTGCAGCTTCTCATTCATGACACGGCATTCTAAATACACAATGCCCAAGTTAAAATAAGTTCAACTTTTGAGAAAAAAAAAAAGTGTCTCCAGACCTTGAGTTTTTTCCCCATTCTATTGCCTGTGTCTCGTGTTTTTCAAAGCAAAAGTGTGTTCTGTGTGAATGGCCCCTTATGCTGCACTCTATCTTTTCGTACATTTCTCTCTCACTCATTTCTCTCACTCTCACTCATCTTGTTTCAATTGTATTATTCATACTGTATTTCAATATATATAACTATTTAATCCAATATGTAACTATTTAAAACCGTAACATCTGATTAAAGCAGTCATGTTCATAAAAAATTATCTTTCAAAAAATTAATCTATTAGCATTATCTAGCCATGCTTATTTCCATTGTTTGTACAGTATAAGGAGCAGAAGTGATCATAGACAAGAAATCACAGTGACAGTCTCAGGCGTCATATTTATATATTTATATATATTTATATACAGACATACCATATTTATATATCACGCTGTTCATCTTTAATCATTTCAGCCCTACAACAAAAATCCAATACAAATTTAATTAGCATACTAGATCTTTTGTTTGGAAACCCACATATTCACATAGGGTATTTCTTATTCTTAGCCGAAGATCAGATAAAAATAAAATCTAAAGAAATTATACAGTATAATGTTATTGTATAATTTGTATTTAATTTATTTAACAAATAATAAATGGATATTTTTGAAGACAGATAATGGGCGAATACAGAGGTTAGAGGTAAAAATAAATAAATAAATTAAACAATCTGTGTATATTGTAAAGTAAATGTCTAGCCATTTGCTGTCTGTACTGTGTGTATTGTGGTTTTGTCATGTTGAATACAATTGTTCAATTGTTTTGCATTTAGCAGAACAACCTGTAAGAGGAGCAACATTTTGTCCCCCCTCAAAATTCACAAACATGGTTGAAAGGCGATAAGCTTGACTTGATCTGACTGAAGCTATAGCATTTAATATTTTCCATGAGAAATCTAAAATTGGCATCAAATAAATCAATAGCAGAGCTTGAAAAAAAATTCTCAAAGGGAATCTCAAGGGAAAATCATTTGAATTACAAATTGACTGTTGTCATCTGAAAAGGCGCTACAAGGGATTTTTTCCTAACCCACCATTAAAAAATTGTTCCTATTGTGACTGAAGTCGTTTCTGTCTCTGAGTCTGTAGGATTTAAGTGTTTGAACCTAAATTTGACCTGAAAGGGAAAAAAATCTTCTGTCACTTACCTCCAAAGGGAACTCTCAAGAACTTTGTTGGAGTCTGCATGGTAATATTTAGTGAGAATGAGGATGACCTACGAAGAGAAAAAAAGTGACATTAAACATTGAAGAAAATAATTACATTTACACATTGTATGTACAATTCTATTAAAAAATACAGTCGTGTCTGAAAATCACATTGAAAATGTGTGTGAGATGGAGCAATTCGAACACATTAAGAACACTCAATCCTGCTTTCTCTTGTAGGATCTCACATCTGCAGCGGACATTGCATTTGCAAAAACTTTTTAGTCTGAGAAACTGAATTTGCTGAGAAAATGTTCTCTAAACACAGCAGAGAGACATCACTGCAAGTGTCTAGTTCCTCAGACTCACATAGAAGCATGATGTGTTTGTGGTGTTAGAAACAGCATATGCTAACCTCATTTGACAGATCCATCAAACCGTAACCACTTGATGGACAACATCTTCCTAGCTTCTGCTAATAACTTACTCTTTTTTTATCTTTAGGACCGACTGCACTGCAAGCAGTTGCTATAGCACTGATGAATACACATAGCACGAAGCCAAGTTACTTTCTTCAGCTGGCAGCAGGGAGTTAGCAGTATGGAAAAGACTGACAGAAGCTGTTGGCCTGTATTGCTACAGTCACAGGTTTAAACACTTGGACATCAAACAGTTATGTACAAGTTAAAATGAAGCCCAATATACTGAAACATTATCTAAAACAGGTTAGCTGTTTTACAACCTCTAAATCCATAACACAAAATAAGTCTTTTATAACTGGTCTGGATTAGATTCATCACTGAAACTCCAGCTGGTGATGAGGATCAGATTACATTTAGATTTTCTGATGGCATCACCACAGTGCGTCTATTTTGTTGATCATTTTTTCTTCAAGAGTTTTTTTTTTTTTTTTCATAAAACCATAAAAATCACACATGAAATATGCAAGTGGGGTGACCAGTGTCAACAAGCAATATAGCTTTCATTTATCAGTTGCATTTTAGTGTTTTTTTAATCCAAACATGTATGATACACAGCTATATAATAGGTCTGAAATTGCATATAGTGACATCTTGCTAATTAGAATTTATGTTGGATGGTTTCTGTATGTATTTATCTGTGTTGTGGCATTATAGCAAGACCAAAGCTTAAAAAGCAGCTACCTTGCTGATTAGGCTGCCAGTAATTGCTTCAATCAACACAACACAGATAATGAAATCTACTGTAGCTCCACCACAACTTTCTGCAGAGTGAAACATTTTCCTGCATGAGAGGCATGAGAGTAGAGCGGCCGTTCTCACCAACTGTTCCGGACAAGCACCATGTGCTAACGTAAGGCAACTCAAGTGCGTCAAATACAGCCCTCGATAGGTGGGATAAGTAATATGATATCCTTACGACTCAAATAACTAAACGAAAAAGAGCATGAAGCTGTTTGAAGTACTGTCATGAACTGAATGAAGAAGGAAGCATTGCACTATAATTTTGCCTTCCTGCCATAAAGAAATATCCAGATGGCCACAAAGGTTCCCTACCTGCCCAAACACATGTCAAGTACAGTCTTGTGCCCTTTCTTTCAAAACATATTCTCTTTTCAGCTCCTCTAGTGCACATTTCTACAATGTTTGCCTGCATGTAACATGGGGTCCGTTAAATGCTGAAGCTCTAGCTGGGAAAAAGACAGTGTTTAGCATTCCACCTGGTCATTAGGCAGCTGTGCAACTGATATAATCTGAGCCCCAATGTAAAATTAATGCCACCCTCGTATCAACCTCAGACAGACAGGCTAATGAGGGCATTGGAACAAACATGGCATCAATTATTCCATATGCGGCACTATATTTTTAGCTCCATCTTCTTTTCACACTTCAGTGGCCTCAATCTTTAAACCCCACAATAAATAATACGTTTCTCTCACGATAGACTGGTCATTAAGCCTAACTCTGTCTAACCCAGAAAGGTTTACAAAGCCCCAAACAAAGCAAAACAAACAAAGACCTAACTGGCAGTCATTAAACGGTCAGGGTTAGTTGCTAATAGTGGATAGTGTGAGGCAATTAGCACAGGGTCCAGGAAAGCCCTCGGCAGTCCTAATTAAGTCATTTCTAAGTTCACTGCAGAGGCACTGGACCTGCTTATCACACCTAAGAGGACTGCAGAAACCAACACAAGAGAGAGATCCAGGCATAAACAATGGTAATTTCTAAATGATGTACTCGCTATGCTGTCTACATGAACTTCTGTTCTTACCATAAGGGACCTTTTCCTTAGCCCACAGACAGTCTAAGCCTGTTGGGTGAAATGTTTTACAACGAGGGTCAGCTGTGATCTGCTGACGGTCAGTTTGAATGTTTCGAACCGGATAAACGAAGACCTCAATCATCTACATTCACTCCTTTTTCGCTGGCATCTGCTCTTGGATTCTCCTCTTGCCTTATGCTCTTCCTCTTTACCTGAGCTCTGTCTTCCTGGACAACAGTGTTAAAGGCCATGCCATCAGGTCAGACTCCAGCCCTCACTGGCATCTCTCTTCCTCTCTTCTGAGCTTCAGGAGCTGTTCACATTGCACTAGCTTTCCAGTGTTTTTCTATGTAAATACATACTAGATGGACGTATTTGGACATAACACTCACGTCTTGCATCTATTGCAGCTTCTCATTCATGACACGGCATTCTAAATACACAATGCCCAAGTTAAAATAAGTTCAACTTTTGAGAAAAAAAAAAAGTGTCTCCAGACCTTGAGTTTTTTCCCCATTCTATTGCCTGTGTCTCGTGTTTTTCAAAGCAAAAGTGTGTTCTGTGTGAATGGCCCCTTATGCTGCACTCTATCTTTTCGTACATTTCTCTCTCACTCATTTCTCTCACTCTCACTCATCTTGTTTCAATTGTATTATTCATACTGTATTTCAATATATATAACTATTTAATCCAATATGTAACTATTTAAAACCGTAACATCTGATTAAAGCAGTCATGTTCATAAAAAATTATCTTTCAAAAAATTAATCTATTAGCATTATCTAGCCATGCTTATTTCCATTGTTTGTACAGTATAAGGAGCAGAAGTGATCATAGACAAGAAATCACAGTGACAGTCTCAGGCGTCATATTTATATATTTATATATATTTATATACAGACATACCATATTTATATATCACGCTGTTCATCTTTAATCATTTCAGCCCTACAACAAAAATCCAATACAAATTTAATTAGCATACTAGATCTTTTGTTTGGAAACCCACATATTCACATAGGGTATTTCTTATTCTTAGCCGAAGATCAGATAAAAATAAAATCTAAAGAAATTATACAGTATAATGTTATTGTATAATTTGTATTTAATTTATTTAACAAATAATAAATGGATATTTTTGAAGACAGATAATGGGCGAATACAGAGGTTAGAGGTAAAAATAAATAAATAAATTAAACAATCTGTGTATATTGTAAAGTAAATGTCTAGCCATTTGCTGTCTGTACTGTGTGTATTGTGGTTTTGTCATGTTGAATACAATTGTTCAATTGTTTTGCATTTAGCAGAACAACCTGTAAGAGGAGCAACATTTTGTCCCCCCTCAAAATTCACAAACATGGTTGAAAGGCGATAAGCTTGACTTGATCTGACTGAAGCTATAGCATTTAATATTTTCCATGAGAAATCTAAAATTGGCATCAAATAAATCAATAGCAGAGCTTGAAAAAAAATTCTCAAAGGGAATCTCAAGGGAAAATCATTTGAATTACAAATTGACTGTTGTCATCTGAAAAGGCGCTACAAGGGATTTTTTCCTAACCCACCATTAAAAAATTGTTCCTATTGTGACTGAAGTCGTTTTTGTCTCTGAGTCTGTAGGATTTAAGTGTTTGAACCTAAATTTGACCTGAAAGGGAAAAAAATCTTCTGTCACTTACCTCCAAAGGGAACTCTCAAGAACTTTGTTGGAGTCTGCATGGTAATATTTAGTGAGAATGAGGATGACCTACGAAGAGAAAAAAAGTGACATTAAACATTGAAGAAAATAATTACATTTACACATTGTATGTACAATTCTATTAAAAAATACAGTCGTGTCTGAAAATCACATTGAAAATGTGTGTGAGATGGAGCAATTCGAACACATTAAGAACACTCAATCCTGCTTTCTCTTGTAGGATCTCACATCTGCAGCGGACATTGCATTTGCAAAAACTTTTTAGTCTGAGAAACTGAATTTGCTGAGAAAATGTTCTCTAAACACAGCAGAGAGACATCACTGCAAGTGTCTAGTTCCTCAGACTCACATAGAAGCATGATGTGTTTGTGGTGTTAGAAACAGCATATGCTAACCTCATTTGACAGATCCATCAAACCGTAACCACTTGATGGACAACATCTTCCTAGCTTCTGCTAATAACTTACTCTTTTTTTATCTTTAGGACCGACTGCACTGCAAGCAGTTGCTATAGCACTGATGAATACACATAGCACGAAGCCAAGTTACTTTCTTCAGCTGGCAGCAGGGAGTTAGCAGTATGGAAAAGACTGACAGAAGCTGTTGGCCTGTATTGCTACAGTCACAGGTTTAAACACTTGGACATCAAACAGTTATGTACAAGTTAAAATGAAGCCCAATATACTGAAACATTATCTAAAACAGGTTAGCTGTTTTACAACCTCTAAATCCATAACACAAAATAAGTCTTTTATAACTGGTCTGGATTAGATTCATCGCTGAAACTCCAGCTGGTGATGAGGATCAGATTACATTTAGATTTTCTGATGGCATCACCACAGTGCGTCTATTTTGTTGATCATTTTTTCTTCAAGAGTTTTTTTTTTTTTTTTCATAAAACCATAAAAATCACACATGAAATATGCAAGTGGGGTAACCAGTGTCAACAAGCAACATAGCTTTCATTTATCAGTTGCATTTTAGTGTTTTTTTAATCCAAACATGTATGATACACAGCTATATAATAGGTCTGAAATTGCATATAGTGACACCTTGCTAATTAGAATTTATGTTGGAGGGTTTCTGTATGTATTTATCTGTGTTGTGGCATTTTAGCAAGACCAAAGCTTAAAAAGCAGCTACCTTGCTGATTAGGCTGCCAGTAATTGCTTCAATCAACACAATACAGATAATGAAATCTACTGTAGCTCCACCACAAGATTCTTTCTGCAGTGTGATTCTACTTGCCTTGAAGTATTTTCACAATGAAAGCCACTATATCTCTATAAAACTGGTTTCAATCCCAGGACTTACTGTGTTTGTGTAATGGACGGTAAATGCTTTTTTTTTTGTGCATGATATGACAAACACATGACGAATAGAGAGCACGCACACATAGGCTACACAAAATGATGCCTTCCTCTGGTCTATTTGATGAGGTATAAAAGCCAGTGTGAGGTGTATCCTTAAAGCCTCTCCTATTTTTTATTCATGTTAGTAGGACGCCTGAGTTTGCAGTAACATATCAGTAGAGTGTGAGTGAAGGGGGATGACTTGCGTCTGTGTGTCTCCTTTATCTTTCTCTGCTGCCTCACACACTGGGTCTCTGACAGCAAAGCCCAGCGGAAAAGCATTGCCACGAAAAAGGGTCAGAGAGACTCAGGGCCTTGGCAGAGTGATTGACAGGTCAGCACTGGAATGTGGCAGGAAGCGTGTGGACCGGGCTAGCCTTGGGCGTTGCTTGGAGGATCGGCTGAGAGGGTTATTGCCTTGAGTCTGTCCCTCCCTCTGCAGACAACAGAGGCGCTAAAGGTCAGAAAGGTGTGAGCAGAAAAGCAAAGGTTTTTTAACAGTATGGAGGTTGTGTATGGCCGGAAAGCTATTTTAACCTTTATCAGTGATCCATGGGAGGTCTCAAATCCAACTGTACCAAAACCCAGTTCATTAAAAATTAAGTTATTCCTGCAGTCATGTCAAAATACTGTATAAAGTGCATTGCATTCAAGCCAGAATATTTTTGAAACAAAACATTATAATGCGATTTATTTCTTACAATTAAAAAAGTCATTTGAAAAGCAGTTTTCTAGGCCAAATATGTTTTGTTCTAATAAATTTTTTTTTTTAAACGTTTTTAAATACAGTTCAGCTGCTCTGAACACTGAGTGATATAAGTTTAATATGAGCTTAATTGTGAGATTCATTGTAATCATTCCTGCTTTCCACATTCATAATTATTCATAAAAAAATTAATAAATTCCCACACACTGTTATTCGCTGTAATATTCCACCAGTTGGTAAGATTTTTAAAATCTTTCTGAAAGAAGTCACCAAGCCTGCATTTATCAAAAATACAGTAAAAAACAGTGATATTGTGAAATATTATAAAAATTTAAATAACTGTTTTGTATTTTGCTATATTTTAAAATGTAGAATATTACATTTATTCTTTTGATGACAAAGCTGAATTTTCAGCAGTCAGAAATCATTCTTCAGAAATTATTCTATACGTTGATTTGGTGCTCATGAAACAAAATGTTGTGTTGCTTAATATTTTTGTGCAAACTGTGATTACACACACAGACATTTAAGTTAAAAAGTTAAAAAAAGAACAACATTTATTTGAAATAGAAACCTATTGTAACATTCTACATGACTATACTGTCTGTCACTTTTGATCAATTTAATGTACCCTTGTTAAATAAAAGCATATTATTTCCTTTAAAAATATCTTACTGGGCCCAAACTTGTAAAAGTTAATGTATAAGTGAGAATAAACAAACTAAATCTATTTGACTGTAATTCTACAAATAGTGCATATGAATCAACAATCTTGTTCGTTTGGTTTTTTCGTTTGTGATTTGAGCAAAAACGAGCCATCTGATCATTATCAAAATTGTTCAAACCAAGTCTGCTTCTTGTGCTTTATTACTCCACATATTATGTTTCTTTCCGTTCTCTCTCTGTCTTTGTCTATCATCAACTTCCATCAAAACTTCCATGAAAAGCATCTCAGACATCAGGCCCCCAAACATCCTCTTGGCTATTCATGCCATAATTTGTCAAGAACATAGCTATTTACCAGATGTGATCTGTAACTAATTTAAAGAACCTTTCTCTCTTGGAACACTGAAGAAAATGAGGCTTACTGTTACTGCAGACACAGCTGTATCTGGAAGAATAACCAAGTATCTTTTTCCACTTATGATTTTTAAAGGCCTTACATACTTGATGATGAATAAAACATGTATCAAACAGTGGATGAGTGGTCTACATTCACTCAACAAGACAGAAGGCATTTATGCTTTCCCACAATGTGACCACCAACAACTGCGAATATGCCCTATTCATCAATACAGACAACATTTTGACAATTCCTTTTGAATTTATTATGCTGAACCTAATCAAACATATTAGCTGTCCACAGCGCATTTGGCATCAGGCTACACAGCGAACAGTTTTCTCAGCCTACCCAGGGGGCCGAGTGCCCCCGCACAGGCGTCAGATGGTGGCCTTTGGAAAGAGTCTGTCTGCACCCAGCTGTCGCAGTACAACGCTAATGAACCACTGGGAGCAAAGCCTTTCACTCACTGAAATCATGCAAATACAGTTTGAGGAAAAGAACAACTGATGATCAGCAGCTTAGAGCAAAGCCCACCGAACTTATTACTGACATCAGCATGCAGAGAATAATCTTCACATCATTTACTTTGAGCTATAACAAAGCTGCCATCAGCTGAGAGTGAAGGGAAGCGACGACTTCCTTAATACACAGGCACTCTGGTGGCAGCCCCTCAGTTTATCTGTTTACCAAGAGGAAGTGAGAGCAGACAAATAAATACAACAGCAGAATCAGCACACTGTAAAACCTGATAAGTTAAGAATACTCAAAACATTTGTGGAAACTTATTGCCTCAAAATATTTGAGTAAACAAACTCTATTTTTTTTAAGTTAGTAGAGTTTAACATTTTTATGACAAGTGGGGCGGGGCTGAGAGCCATGGGAGCCAAGCCAAGCCTCCATTCCATGATCCCACCCCACTCATCACAACGATAATTATATACAACTTGTTTCCATTAACAGCACATTCATTCAGATCTTTATAGTTAAGTGCTAGATAACAACTGCACACTGGCACGTACTAATGTAGTTATCTTAAAGACTCACAATATTTGCATGTAAATAGTCAAACAACATGCACTATAAAAAGTCTTTAATTTTTGCTGTCCATCCTCAACCTAACCACAGGCTCTACTCTTCACCACAACGGTAACACTACAAAACCAACATAACAGAAACCTATGTAAATCCTAACATAACACAACATTTAAGTACTAACTTATGTCTCTCTATGTTAATCTTGTGTAAAAACACACAAAATAACACTTAATTTCTACATTTATTTTCCTTGTTGTCTGATGCAAAGCATGCTGGGAACTAGAAAATGCAATAATTTTAAGTTCACCTTACTACAACAACATTTTAAATTTACAGAACTTATTTCAATTAAGTCCAATTAACTTTCATTATTATTTGAGTGAAGTTAACTCATTTCATTTAATTAATTTCACTGTTCGGTTTTACTGAGGACGGGACGAACCTGTTATTGAGAGTGATTCTTGTCTAGATTCTTGTTCTCTATACTATTTTGAGACAAAAAAGATCAATCAGATCAATCATTTTAAGTGCATTAAGTGATTTATGCATCACAACATTATAATGCAGAACAGTATGAAAAATGGATATTCATTTTCGGATATTCCTAATCACATTAAAAACACAAATTATTTAATAACACTGTTAAAAGATTACATTTCAGTGACTGTTAAATGCCAACACAAAATCTAAATTGGGGAAATGAGCTAAATGTGCTAACTTAAATAGCTCAAATCTAAAAATGCCTAATATTTAAAGTTGTAATGAAACGGAAGTAGAGAGAGATCTTTTTTCCACATTGTGATATACATCTATGTGTAAAAGATAATTGCGCACATCGCTAAAAATAAAAGATCAGGCCCATAATTAAAAAAATAAACTTCAGCCATTCGTT